TGTCGCTTGCTTGTCACAATAATCAGAGAAAACATATCCAACGGGCGTCAATGTATAGTCGTTTTCCACAAAGTTGTTAATAGTGAAACAAGTTGTGCTCGAGTTATCCACGTACTTGTACAGCACTATCGGATCGCAGAAGCTTGGAAGCGTTAAATAGTAAGAAATTCTAAATAATAAAAGATTAATCGCAAACTAAGCGATGAGAAATTGAAATGCCACAAACACAAACCCGCATCTGCCGTTGAAAAGACCATCTTGCACACAAGCGAAGGACTCAGCACTGGCGAAAGTTTCTTCTAGTGTACGCTTTCCTACGTGTAGAGTGACAGTATTTGGACATCTCTTTAGCCCTAATCCGCGCACTAGCGCATAGGTGTTTGTTTTCGCTGTTTGCAGAGTAACATCATTCGCGAAAATGGAGCAAACTACCTGCAAAACAACAAATTTTCTGTTCTTCTCTAACGTTCAGTTTTCACAGAAACTGCTGCAGATTAACTTTTTCCTTGCAACACAATTTCAGACATTAGCAAAGTATACCTTGGGTATCTAGCTATTGTAGCTTGTGTCTATCCCGCAAAGTTTTTACCGTCAACTTCTACCCTTACCTGCCACTGACTTTTGCATAAAATACCTTCTCGTAATCAACAAAATAGCAATCCTTGTCATTGTAACAAAGTTCCAAACATTCCACCATTGTCGTGACATTGTATTTGTGTATGATTACAGCTGGAAACTTTTCTTCTATTCTATCAAACGTACAAGGCATTGCAGTGCCAATCTGAACATTTGTAATGACTAAATTTAATTTATTTTCCTCCAAAATGACAGAAAAATATACCTGCAGGAAAAGGAGCGTAGCCAGAAGCCAGTTCATCTCACAACCAAGATACAGCATCTTCGAGTGAAAATGTGGTTGGTAAGGCCCAAGAGGCGTTTTTATGCTGAACTGTAACCGTGGCTTGTTGCTAGGTTCACCCCATTGGTGGTTTTTTAGGATTCCTGGAACAAAGAGAAATAGCAGTTGAAAATTGTTATTCTGCTAGTTTGGATAAATTGTGTGTATCCGTTTTCTGTTAACTACTAGCTGTGTTACCGTAATCCTCCTTTATTTATAGGCCATCGGACTATCGTTACATGTTAAATGTTTATAGCTTTGAACTGTTGTTTGTAAATAACACTTAAAAACATTGTTATCAGACTTTGTTTTAAAATTCAGTGATGAGGT